ACCCTCATATCTACCTATGTGACCGAATCCAGCCTCTACTAAATACGACAAGACATGGCTAGGTATCACTAACTTAAGGTTCCTAATAAAATGATCTAATATACGGTCTCTCTCCTAAAATTAAATAATTACAAACATTAATTTTTAAACTAATAATTATGCATTAAATAAATAAATAAATTATTACTAATAATTTAAATTAAACTAAAACGTTAAAATGTTATAGCATGGGCGTGCCTTTCTGACGCGTGTCAAAATTAAAGCTAAAGCACAATCTTTATACCGTGTTATAACCTTACGTGACGTAAGATGCGTTGAGCCGCGCTTTAACCACGTGGGTCCAACACAATATAAGATACGCTTCAGAAGACTCTCCTTACCCACGTGGCGACAGGAAATTAAAGATGAAAAAAAAAAAGTGATTTATCGGGAAAATCACCATGTATTTGAGATACTTGAGGCTGTTGTACTGATTTCTTGCACTGGAACCATCAATTTTGTACTACCTTTAAACCTCACATCCCAACTATCGAATTCAATCTTTTGTTTAGAAATGATTTTCTTTATTATAACTCCAGGCCCGGGTAGGGACCACTTGATTGGTATGTTAAAACTCAAATCTCAAAAGGTACACCTTAATATATTATAATTGGAATCGGTCTATCGTCAACGAAGAATGATCTTACCCTCAGTGTCCTCATACACAATACGCAGAGGAACATGCCACCAAATTCGAAGTTTCTCTAGCTGATGTCCAATCTGAAGCAGCTCTATAGCCTTCCATATAGAAATTAGTCACAGACGCAATTGCTAAGCTTCGGTATGATCAAGTTTATGTGGCTAATATATCTTTGTACGTCGGCACATTTAACCTGCCTCCAACAGACAATGATACAGATCAACATCTTGTCATCGCCTTCGAGCCATACATCGGTCCGACTGTTTTCCAATACTAACTCCAGGCCTTTTCGTAACATAGATAGTTCCGTGATACTGCTTGTGGTTCTCCCTATGTATTCAACATATCAAGTAAGATTTCAGCCTTGTGGTTCCGAAAGACACCTCCAACGCTACCTTTTACTCTACCTTTACAATATCCATCAAAGTTAAATTTAGTTTGTCCAGAGACAAAACTCTGATCAAATATTGAGAGAGACAAATTATTAATTCAAAATAATAAAAATTTATAAAGAAAAAATAGAGAGACTAAGAATTCAGCCTTGTGGTTCCGAAAAATCTCTTGTAATTATTCGAAACATCTAATGTCTTATCCTGTTAAATAAATTGGTTATTAATATCTTTATTTGAATTATTGATACTTAAGTAATGTAATAATAATGATTTAGGGTAAAATTGGAAACCTATTATTTGCATAGTAGGAAAAAACAATCACTTTGCTTAATTTATTAAATAAATAAATATATTTAAATTCCTAATCAGAGTAATTTGAATAAATAATTCATGTTATTTATATTTTATACTCTTTTAATTTTTTTTCATTATAATGAGATTAATTAATTTGTAATTTTAAATAATTGATTATTAGACCATTAGTTAATACCTTTAAATTCATTTTTGGGATAATTTGGTAACTCGTGTTATTTACATTTATTATTTTCTTCTATCCCTTTTTCACTCTAAAATATTTATGTTGTATTTGCAATCGTATTATCTAATTGTATGTTTATGATATATTTATAATATTAAATATTTTGTTGACATATTCATATTATTTACATGTCATGTCTTATTCACATTCTGTTTATATTCATTATAATAATTTAATTTTAACTATATAGTAATTTATTTAAAACTTCATTCATTATATCTATTAAATATTTTTCATAAAAAATAAAGTAACTGTTATGTATAAAAGTCTATTATGATTTTCTAAATAATAGCAAGGGGTATATTCTAATTTTTATTATTTTTAGAAGGCTTAATATACAAACAAAAATGCTTAAACTATACATTTTTTTCAAAGGCCTAATTTTTTTCGGTCAATTCAAGTGTCTAACATTACAAACGTTACCACTATAGGTTTCTAGCCCGTAATGGACGTTTAAGTCCACCGTTAAGTGAAACGTTTCACATTTTGATAATTTTGAATTTTTAAAAAATAAAAAAACTGAAAATATTATTATATTTAAAAAATATTTTTTCTAAAATTAAAAAAAAAAACCAAATCCCTAAAAATCTCTAAAATTCTTAACCCTAAACTTACCTCCTCTCTTGTTAACCACGGTCGCCCCCCTTACCATCTCCCTTGCCAATCGTCGCCACTTGTTTCGTGGTTGTTGTTGTTGGAGTCATCGGGTCGTCTTAATTGGGGGGTTTTTGGGTTTGATTTGTCAATTAGGGGTTCGTTGGGTGATTAGGTCGTAGGTGGTTGGGTCGTCGATGGAGGTTCGATCAGTCGAAGGTTCGACCGACGACAATGGCAACAAAAGTTCATCAGGTGGTTGGGTCGTATAGGTATTCAAATTAAGTTCTTCAAAGTTTTTGGTTTTTTTTCTTAATAGTTTCAAAAAATTTAGGGTTTTTTAATAAAAAAATATTTTAAGCTTTTTTGTTTTTAAGGTTTTTTTCTTAATATTATCTAAACTAGACACACATTATTTAATAAATTTTTAGTAAGTTTTTTAACGACCGTTATAATCAAAAACACATAAAATAATAATATTAGACATGCTCAAAAAAAATTAAAACATCATTTTAAGAAAAAATGACATGATTTGAACCTTTATCTTTATATTAAACTTTTTAGAATAGGGAAATAGGATAGTTGGAATTTTGGATCAGCGCGAATGAGTCTAGAACTCTAGATATGAGATTTAAAAAAGAAAAAGGGAAATAGAATCTATTATGACCGACACGTGCCGCTTTGGAGTTTGATAAAAAGTTATAAGCGATTAAAAACATTAAAATCACACGTGAGAAAAATACCCAAACATGTGATTGATCAAACAGACAAGAAAATGTTTAGAAGAAAGCTGAAGTGGCATTAGCTGATTGTTTTTGTTGCTTACAATCAGACAGTGACATCCCTCTCCATTTATACTTTCCCCAACATCTTTCCTCTTTTTCTAGCTCAAGATCTGCAGTTGCTTCCTCAAGTTGTCCAAAGCAGCAGTCCTCGGTCTTTAATTTACAACAGAACAGGTAACTTCATTTCTTTCTATATTTCAATTTAATTAGCTGTTTCTACAAATTTTTTGCTTTCCTTCCATATCTGCGAAATTCAAGGTTTGATCATCGATGATTAGATAGTTATAATAGGTTCTGAATAACTGTTTGTAAAGTCTTTTTTTGAGCCCTCATTCCTATCTACTCCGAGCTGAACCGACCGGAATTTAACTTCCGTCGCCTTACTGTCTGAGAATCTTTGTTTCATCATCGTTGGTTTTTACTAAAGCAACATAACCGGGGCAGGAAAGGGAATTGCAGATGAAATGTCAAAGTTAGGCATTCCTTTTATATGTGGTTCATGGTAATTTTATTTTATTAAAACTTTTTTGACAGTTTCAGAGTTAATTACGTTAGAAGTCCCTAAATTATGATCTCAATTATAAATTAGTATATAAACTTTAAAATATTATATATCAATCCCTACATTATAACATCATTATAAATTAATCTTTAAGCTTTAAAATATTCTATATTAATCCTCAAACTATCAATATAATTTCATTTTAATTCTTTCGTTCATGTGTCATTAACTCTATTTATTTTTAAAGCATTGGAAATTGAACATGTGATGTTATAAAAAATAATATGTTTGTCAATGTCATGAGAATTGAACTCGTGATCTTCTAAAAATAATTTGTTTTTAAAGGTCTCAAGATTTTTTTCATTGTGGGTTTAATTCCCAGGACCTTCAAACATAAATAATATTTTTTATCAAGTAGAGTTAACAACACTTTAATAGAAGGATCAAAATGGAGTGATATTGATAATTTGAAGATTGACATATAAAATTGTAAAGTTTAAGGACTAATTTAGAATAGAGTTCATAGTTTAGAGACATCTTGTAGAATTATCTATATTTTTATAAAAATATCACACGTGCATGAACTGAAAGTTTTATTACAAATTTTTAATGCGTTTTTATAAGAAAAAGAAAAAAACAAATGAATTAAGTGGATAAACACGCAACAAATCATTACAATTATACGATGTTTTTCAATTAATAAATAGTCACATCACTACCAGCTATGAAATCAATAGGGGATCAGCAACCTGTAGAGTCTTAACGAGTCATTCTACAATTATCGCTTTCCGTTTATTCTATCCTGTCCATATACCAATATAATATGGATCGTGGAGTACTCTGTACTCTGCACAGTTTTTTTTTATAAAAAATTTATTCGAGCATTTAAAAGTAATTAAATGCTAATTATGTATTAATCTTAAAAATAAATTATTTGAATTTTGAAATAATAATCTTTAAAAATATTTAAGTATTCTCCTCATTTAGTTTTATTCTGCCGGTTCCCTTCCAATCCCACGGCCCACCACCGCCGACCTGAAAGGAACAACAATATATTCCACAATCTGGTGCCCTTCAGAGCAAGGCAATCACGCAAACGTTGCACGTTACAAAATGGATTTTGCCTAAGAAACCTTATCGTAAAATATATACTATAATTTGATTATATCAATTTTAAATTTCATTAAAACAGCATATCATGTACAATAATGGCGTAATAAGAAATAATTGTAGTTATATTATTTTTATTTTTAAAAAAAAATTGAGTGTCAACGATATTAAGTTACTAATTTTATAAAATATTTAAATCATTAACCAACTTGAAGGCTTTTCTTTAATGCACAGCATGCGGGTCGATTCTCGTTGGACCGTGTAAGCTCAAAAACAGTCGACGGTTCAGAATCGTCCGTCATATCTCATTTGTCACAGTCGGATGCAGACATTCTTTTAATAGATAAAGCAAGAAACAATATGAATTCAAAAAAGAAAAGAAAAAATATTTTTATTTGCTTTAACGTTTTCTATCAGCAACAGGTAACTTCCAGCACAACAAACATGTCATCATACCACCTCTCTGAGCTAGACTCCACCACCGACTCCGTCGCGTCCTCTCCACGCTCGGAACACCTTTGTCCTCAAGATGCCAATACACGTGTACGGTTCATGTGCAGCTTCGGCGGCAAAATTCTCCCTCGTCCGCACGATAATCAACTCTGTTATGTCGGCGGTGATACGCGCATCGTCGCTGTCCATCGCTCCACTCCTTTATCAGCGTTACTCACCAAGCTCTCCAAACTCTCAGGCAACCAAATAAATAGAGAACGTTCTCTTTTTTTAATCATTTTCATTTCCAAATATCTTATTTATAATTTCATTTTGATTTTTTTGTTTACTGATTAAGAATTGGCAACTTGAGTGTTAAGTATCAGCTCCCGAATGAGGATCTTGACGCGTTGATTTCAGTGAGTATCAGCTCCCGAATGAGGATCTTGACGCGTTGATTTCAGTGAGTACCGACGAAGACTGGAGAACATGATGGATGAATACGATCGGTTAGCACAGAACAGCTTTTGCATGAGGACGTCTCAGTTCCGTACACGGGTTCTCTTGCCCCCGGTGTTTCCGTTTCCACTTCCTTTCGTTCGACGTCAGGAGCTCCTACTGTACTACCTTCTATGCCCGATCTGCGACCCGTTAAGACTAAACCGGATAACACCGAACAGGTTTTGGAGTCAAAACATAGTCAAACGGAGAGTTTTATGGAGCAACCCGTTTCGCAGCCAGTCGCATATTCAGGCAGTCCTATGTGGCATTATATTCCGGATTCTCATTATTCTGCTCCTCCCGTACAACAAATACCCGCTTTTTATGTTCCGGGCGCTGCTCAGCCCGGAATTCCTCCATTTCAACCGGTTCAAATCCATGCACAATACGTCCAGCAGTATCCAGTTTTCGCGGGTCAAATACCAGTTGGGTACCATCAGCCGGCTCCTGGTGTGGGTCAAGTATACAGGCCAGTTACATCTGTGGATCGTTATGACCCGGCGTTAAGAGTGGCTCCTGATGGTGCGACTCAACCAGTATATTATGGAGTTAGAAATTCTGGTCCGGTTCCAGTTTACCCAGGAATGGCTTCCCATGGTGGGGAAGAATTGGCTAGAAGTGGATCGGATATGACACCGGGTCGGATTTCCCAATCAGGACAGTAAGAGTATTGGTCATATGGCAATAATGGCATGGTAGTTTTTGTGCCTATTTACTAAGCTGCTTTTAATGAATTGATAGATGTTAGAAGAGTGATAATGTCATTCCTCCTTCGCTAGATATTGAACTTCGGAAAATGAAAAAAAAAAACATATTTGATATTATTATTTGATTTGTTCAAATATTTATGCAAGGGAGATGTGATCATTAAAAAAATTTAAATATGAATAAATTAAAATTGTAAGTTGGGTTTTAATTTTTTAAACAAAGTCAAGGTCTGTGACTCCATGTACCCACACATAAGTATTGTCCGACGGATATACATTTCAAAGTGGGCTGGAATGTTGGGCTGTAGGAAAAGGTATCATCAAACTAATAAGCTCCAAAAATTCATGAAAACTATTTGTATAATAAATTTATTTTAGATCAGAAAGACCTTCAAGCTTAGCTGATAGTTGCCTGGCATTGCCATTAGGGTCTCAAGCTTAATAAAGGCTTGGCAGTAGTTTTGAGTCATTCATTCCTTCAAGATCAGGCCATAGGCTGTCGTACGTGTAAGATGCAGCATCAAGTATTGGATTAAAACCGAGGATGCGAGGACCGGTCCATGCTTAGGGTGGTCCAATACAAGCCTCGTCCAGTCATCTGCCACTCTCATACAGCACAAAACTATTGTAAACTACGGCCATGGTTCAAACTTCACATATATGTAGACTGTCTGATCCAAAGGGTTGGCAAAGAAATGTTAACTGAATAAGATTGCAATCGAATTGAATTAGTCGTTGGTCCTCATCCGAAAGTTTCATGCGGGGTCGGACTTGAATCTGATGTCGACTACTGCGACAATCCTTCTTTGTTTTTGGGGTTTTAATTACTGCATTAATTGTGCTTGGACCAACACCTAGTTTCAGTTCCAGAGGGTACACCTATCTAATCAATAATTATATGAAAATAATTAAATCCTAAAATTACATTATTTTTTATTTAAGATGCAATGGAGGGGCCCATAAAATTGAATTCTGTAATGAATCAAATCGAAAAGAAGTTTCAAATGGTTTAATAAACTAATTGGAAAGGCCATTGGAGACATAAATTCCTCTCATCTCCACTCATGGTTGATGATGATGGATCATGAATCCATGACAATACATAAATCATTAAATAATAGTAAATGTAAACAAACGTATGTGTATATAATGATTTTGTCTTTATATTCGGATATATACATTTATATTTGAGCCCCACTAGTCTGATATCATCGCTGCCTTAGGCCTTTGGACGATACGATGCTGCTGTCTGCATGGGGTGAAAGGCGTGCGTGCATGCACTCGTTTCTTCACATGCACTGTTTATCTCTCTTCAATTCAAAGCCCACCCACAATGGCCCCTGCAAATGATTAATATATAGATTCCCATTAATGATGATTAATTAATAATTTAACTCGCATTGAAAAAAATCTCACAACATTCAAAGAGCGCTTAATTATTAACAATACTTATTGATTTTTAAAATTAGTATTTGGAAAAGTAATACCGTAGAATACGAAAAATAAAAGAGAAAAAGGCAAAAGTTTAATGGTCTGCGGTCTCCCAATGAATGACTTTTTTTATGGCTTTCTCTTGAATCAATGACAGTATTCAGAGAATCGATTGGGTTAAAAAGAAGAAGACACTCACTAACAAAGTAAAGAAAGAACAAAATTAAAAGAGAGGGAATGCAAACCAAAAGTTCATTCTATAAGGACAAATTGAAGCACTTTGGCTTCATCTGTCCTTGTAATTTTTGGTCTCTCCTCTACCTTTCCCTCCTTATTGCTGTAATTTATTTGTCCTGATTAATCCATCTCTTTCTGCTTCTATGTCCATTTTTTTAAGTCTCTCAGTAGCATGTGACTGTGCAGGCATGACGATCTCTAATAGCAAAACAAGTGTTACTTTGAATAATTTGTTACCTAACGTGGATAGAAAGTACGAAAATGTTAGGATTTTAAGAATAGATATTGTGTTCTTGCATTAATGGAAACTCCAATGATTGTTTGTTAGGCTTACGGCCATATAATGAAATCCTGATGTAATGATGACTAAGTTCATATGTCAGCATTCATTGTGAGTTAAAGTGATGGTTCAAATAGCTTGACTATATAGTGCAATCATTGTTTGATGACTGGGAAAGGTTAGCAAAGGCTGAAGGCTCTGCTCTGCCTCGATAAACGGCGTTGCAGGCCACTCAGGTTTGGTTCTACGTTGATATCGGAATGTAAAAGTAGAAACATCCTAGTATAACAATCAGAAGCATACCGTATATTTTACAACTTCTATTCTTTAAATAATTACTAGAAAATTATTAGGAAAGTATTATCATATGTAAGCATGTAGGAAGACTGACCAATATGTACATTTGGGAAAGTATAGGTGACAAAATGACTTTTACCGACAATGGGATTTGTTACTTTATTTTTCCTTTTTTTTGTGGTGGGGGGGGGGCTGAGAGAGAATTAGAGGTGGATTAACCACATTAAAAAAAAGTCCATAATTGCCTATTCTTCTTTCTTTGTCAAGACTGAACGTTTGGGTTATATGATGGTTTCTTTTGCTTTCATAGTATTAGGGAAAAAGAAACAATTATATTTGGATACATGAAAAGGGACAAAGTGAAAGATGATGGTTCGATGCTGGCCTTTTCTTCCCCATCTTATTGTTTATCAAAATGCACGTGGATCTCTAGCCATCATATATTATATATGTATCAAAATCTCAACCACAATCTAATAATAAAGGGACTCGGATACTTTAACAACAAAAGCTAAGGGTCAAGTCAACCGACCATCATCAGTAGTTGCCGGAAGAAGACCGCAGCGCTAATGCAAAAATGAAAATGGAGAAAAAGGAAAGGTAGGAGGACTTGTTTAGAATTGTTCCTTCGTGTTAATAATCATCAAAAGGATTTATTCATTGTAATTGTAATCTTGGATTTCTTCACATATTAGAGTTTTTATTTAATTGCTTCTGTGAAAATCTACCTGGATCGAAACAATCGATGATAACAAAAGCTAGGGCATGAAACAGTGTTTTGTGTCGAACACAAAAAAACGTGAAGGAAAAATACGAGCAACATTGTTGGCACCCATACACATAAAGACATGGAACTCAAAGCTGTCACCCTGCAACGAAAACGAAATGTTATTTAAAATTCCAATTTGTATGTTATGAAAAATTCAAGACTGCTAAACAAACATGTTTCAAAAACAATATTGGCTCGAGGGAGAAGGATGCGGTTCCCGTGATGCATGTACTAGCAATGTCTCATTCGCTTAATCTCTTCAAACGATCGAATTGGCTGGCCATGGCATTGGCTTATCTACAAATGAATTTAATAGCAGGGGCCAGGGAGGGCCTGAACCCACTTTAACTCTTGATACCTGTGTTTGTGGTGTGTATATTTGGAATGCGAATATTTCAGGATTGGGCTGATATGTATATCGAATTCAGCCTTGAAATATCGACGCTAAAAACTATTTTTTACGAAGAATATTCCGAGAGTAATGGTTGCATTGGTGGGGTAGTATCACAGGATTCTCAACATTTTACCGAGATGTTGATGCGGGGATTCCATCGACATAAGAATCATATATAGGGCCACTGTACCTATGGAAAACATATGAATGACATATATGGGGGAATTTTTCTTGTTTTTTTTTTATTTCACTCCAGCTGGTTTAACCTGTTTTTATTGAATTGACCATGGAACATTATGAGTATAGTTGAACCAGTCTTCGTTTTTCAATGGTTGGAGTGGTGGCCTAAGCCCTTAGCGCCTGACTTTGCTGTTACACATGTGAAGAAACGTCCCCACCTTATTATTTTGCCATAAAGTAGGAAGGGTTAGTCAAATATGAGCGGTGATTTTTTTACAACAAAAGAAATCTATCCTTATTTTTATTAGCATATTTCGTATGAAATTAAAAAAAATATCATATTTTTAATTATATGTAAAAGTATTTAAATTTATTTTTTAAATATAATAATAATAATAATCGAATTGATGCTTAATTAATTGAACATTAATTTTAGTCGTAAAATAATACCGAGCATTTTTAGCATAAAACTAATATTTAACATTCATGTCAATAATAGATAGTACATAGTGCCGGAAGAGAATTATTTCTCATATTTTGGTATATAGTACTATAGTCTCATGCACAAAAAAGAAAGAGCAGATAATGAAAAAAAACATGCAATGACCATGTGTTAAGTTTAAATAAGTGAAAATAACATGACGTTTTAAATAATAACTTGCTAGGTCATTTATTATTATCATTTAAATTTTATTTAATTTTTTAGTCAAGTCAAATTAAGTATATTTATTCAAGATTTTATTTAAATTTAATTATAATTATTTATAATATTATAGTATTCATTTCTTTAATTTTAAACGAATATCTCCAATCATATGTAACATACATATATATATTTCTTCATATTATTTTCACATGTGCAAGTAATACTTATAATGTTTGTAAAAGAAAGTAAGATTTATCATGTTATTTAACAAATCAAACATCTTCTAAAATTATTAAATATATTTATAATTTTATTTTTTTAAAAGAAGGGTTTTTGACCATAAAGTGTTTGTGAGAGTGTAAAGGAGTTAAGGAATTGTTGTGAAATAAAAATTACAATGAGTATGCGATTGAAGAACCAATTTGAATAAAATAAAAAATTGAGAAAATTTATTGTCTAAAGATAAATTAAAGTTACACATGTGTCCTACAATGATTGAATAGCATGTGGTTCATATTTTATAAAAATTATATTTAAAATAAAGGAAGATTTGAAGAAACAAGAAAATTAGGACTAAATCACAAAATAATCAAATTACTTAGCAAAAGCAAAAGATGACATAGTTTTAATATATCAAAAATTTCATTTATTCGAATAAATACCTTATAAAAATTATTTTTAATTATTGACGACAATTATTATTTTATATTCTAAGCAAATAGATTTTGCAATTGAATTTGTATTATTATGATAATTATATAAATATGAGATAAATAAAATAATAACATATATTAAATAATTAATTTATAAAAAAAATTAAATAATACAATACAAAAATTAAAATACCATCTGAATTTATCATGACAAAGAAGAACCATAAATTATTTCTTTAGGTAAATTGAATTAGAAAAAATTATGAACTAAAACAGAATAAAAACTCACAAGTTTTTATATGAATATGATCCCAGTATTAAATTACTATACAAAACATGATATTGATTATTATATATAAAAAAACATGATATTGATTAAAACGTTAAAATTTTATCATATGTCATTACAATATTAAATAAATAAATAAAATAAAAATATGAAAATTTCAATGAAAGTTACAATAAGAAATCTGTAGTATTTTAAACATATAAAAATAAAAATAAAAATCTTAAATTTTTATATAAAAATTACTACACAGGCTGGAGATTTCATTTAAATTTATACTGATAAATCTATAATACTTTATATAGGAAAATACAAAGAATTCTTTAATATTTGGTCTCTCTACATATGCCACCTCACGTCAACATCACCTAGGGTGCGTTTGGATGGGGTATGTGAGATTACTGGGGAATATATTTTCCAAAATGTGATTCTTCCGTTTGGATTGCAATGATTCTCAACCCCCGGTAATAAGTTACTACCAACAGTGATATTTTGGGGACTTATTACCGGGAATGTAATTCCCCCCAATCCTTTAGGTATTATTACATTCCATACGTTTTGGACTAAAATACCCTTAACATAATTTTTTTTTTAAAAATATCATTCTTATGTCGTTGAATAAAAAAAATCTACAAATGTTAAATTGTAAATTTATCCTTAAACTATTTTAGATTTACAGAAAAGTCCATAATTAGAATTTTATATGAAGTTAAAGGATTAAAATAAAATTAAACCCTTTCATTAAACCTATTTATCTTTTGAATTTTGTAAAAAAAATTATATAAATTTTATGAATTTAAATTTTTTTAAAATATATATATATATTAATTATAGTAAAATTATATATTTTCACTAATCTTACATTCCAATATTTTCATTTGAATATTTAGAATTCAACTTGTTAAAAAAATACATATATAATAAGGATAATTTGGTAAAATATACATTCTAATAATCTTTTATTCCTTTAACCAAACATTGTAATCTTATATTCCTGCTAAATGAATCAAACACAACAATGCAACATTCTTAGTAATGTGTTAGGTAATGTTACATTCCAGTAATCATATTTCCGGAGGTAATGCTACATTCTAGAACCAAACGCACCCTTAAAGTAAACTAAACTAGAAAAAAAAAAAAGAAAAACACGCGTCAAATATCTAAAGGCTAAAGCACAGTCTCTACAGTTCCACTATGCATTATAGGTCTACAAGTAATATATATGTCATGTGTGAATCTTAGATCTAAAATTTTCGATTCCAAGAGAAATGATACATGCACTCTAATTTTAAAATCAATTTTTTATTATCAATAATAATAATAATTAATAATCTCAAAATAAATAATTTATCATAAAACACACTCTTTTGTCGTAGATAATTATGAAACCTTTATCTCATGATTAAAGGGAGCATAGTTAGATTAAACACATGATAGTAGTATAATGATTGATTTAATCTTAATCTCTATCTATATTCCACCTATTGCACATTTTGAGTCAAGGAATGTGGCTTAATTAATATATTTGTTCTCTGTAAAAGGAAGTGTGGCAGTGACAACCTTTAATGCTCAACTGGCTTACATTATAAATTAGGTAGCAAATATGGGGGTTGTAAAAGAAAATAGAAGTATTGAATATAATATATATTATGTTGTGATATGCAGAAAGAAGAAGGGCACATTTACCAATTTCTCCAAAACATTATTAGCTTTTGAAAAGTATAATCCCTTACCTTTAAAATCTAGAACTTACTCATTTCAGATTTGTTAATTTGGATTAAATGTGTAAATAAAAGTAGAAAAATATTTACAGTGGTTGCTAAAACAACAAAAAGTAGGCACAACCATGGTATTTCTTTTCCAAGGAGAAAGAGAGGAAAGGCAAAGGGCTGGGACCAAGGCACATCTAAATTAAATAGGGCAGCTGCCGCCTGCTGAGACTGAGAACTAATGTTGAGCACTCCACAGTTACTCGCCTCTTCTTCTTTTTTCTGCACAGAAAGCGAAGCTTCTCTTTTCCATCATTAATACTATTACTCACTCTCTTGCAGATTTAGTCTCTCACCATTTATTCCTTCGTCATTCTTCTCTCATTCTACAATTCTTTAAACACAACATACATCTAAACAGGAGAGGCCAAAGGAAGAAGAAACAAAGTGATTAGGAGAGAATTTGATATGGAAAACTTTGATCTTGAGGACCCATTGAAGAGCTTGGAAGAACATCAATCTGATACAGTTCCAGCTCTCTTCTCGTCGGAATCTGATCACATGCCTTCTCACAACTACTTGCATTGTTTAAAGACCAGTGACTCCCATGTTTCTTTCCGGCAGGAAGCCATTTCTCTCATTTTGCAGGTACCCCATACCGTTCTCCTTGTAATGTTGTTTACTGTTCTTGTCTTTTATCTTCTTGCATTTTGTTGTAAACTTGTTTTAGTTTGTCAGGCGCAGTATTCCTGTAACCTTGACCCCTACACGCAATACCTGGCTATCAACTACATGGATCGCTTCATCTCTTGGCAAGGAATCCCGGTATATCTCTTCCTATTTTTATAGTTTATGGATTTTCAACCAAACTTTAGTTAGATTAGTGAAGAATCGATCGAAAAATACAGAAAAAAATCCTTTAAATAAGATGCAGAGTTCTCATTTCTTGATGTATTAATGTAACAACTTATGCTAACATAAATGCAATTCATGTCGAACTTTGCAGCAAGGTAATCTATGGGTTGTGAGGCTCCTTGTGATAGCTTGCATTTCTCTGGCTGTGAAGATGAAGGAAATACATTTCTCCTTCTCTGATTTCCAGGTAAAAGGGGGAAAAAACGACATTCAATATTCATCTCATTAAATTGTTTAGTCCCATGCAAGAATACTAATAAACAGGTGAAACAGAGGGAAGAAAGATTTATATTTGATCCCCCAGCTATCCAACGAATGGAGCTTCTGGTTCTGGATGCCTTGAATTGGCGAATGAGATCAATAACACCCTTCTCCTTTATTACTTTCTATGTATCTTTGTTCGAACTGAAAGATCCACCTTTGTCACAAGCATTAAAAGACAGAGCAACTAATATAATCTTCCAAGCTCGTAATGGTAATTAACCAGAACATAGAAATCATTTCTGCTAATGTCTTTTGTCACGATAAAACAATTTAAACGTGAGGAAAACTCTGTTTCTTTCGTTACAGAAATCAGTCTGTTAGAGTTCAAGCCATCAATAACTGCAGCGTCAGCTCTTCTTCTGGCATGTCATGAGCTATTTCCGTTGCAGTTTCCATCTTTCGAAACCTCAATTTTATCTTGTGAATACGTGAATAAAGTAAGCATGCTAGTACGACAAATTATAGTTTGTCTTAAAGAATAAAATTTGTTTCATTTCATGTTTGTATAAATTAATGAATGCATTCAATTGCAGGAGATGGTGCTGAAATGCTTTGATGCAATGCAAGAAATGGTGAATAACGAAGTGAGCGAATCGATGGTAGATGTGGTGACAAGCTCAAGCACAAGAACCCCAATAAGTGTTTTGGACTGCCACTGCAACAAATCAGAAAGCGAGAGTACTATCAACAGCACCGCGGCAGCCACCGTAACCCCCGAAAACCGAGAAATCAAGCGTCGCAAATTGAATGGTTTTTGCAGAGAAAGTAATATGATGAACATTTCCCAGATTCAACCATGTGAATAAGAGTTTCAGCTAGGAAAAGAGGGCCATGAATGGCACACTATCACTATTAAAGCCCCTCATTTTCTTGCCCTTTTCTTTGAATGGTAAAAATTTTGAAAAAATAAAATAAAATAATTGGAGGCGAGAGAACGTAGACGATCTAATCCATTTTGTTTGATGGTTTATTATTTGTTTATTTATTTACCTTATTAAATTTAACCGGGTGACATGCCAACAGTTGGAGAAGGAACATGAAGGACCAAAACAAGGCATTAAAATGTTAAAATAGTACAAATTGTTTGTGTGTTAATGTTGTGTTGTTTTGTAGCAGATAGGGAATAGAGCAATGCTTCCTTCAATAAGATATTTTAATGGTAAAAAAATGGGTTTTTTTCTTGAAAAAGCAGAAATGGAGGTTTCATCTCTCATGTCAAACTGTAGAACACGACAATGAATTGGTTAAAAAAAAGGCCAAAGAAAAATGAAGATTGGCGGGGAAGAAGCTAAGGCAAACAACGTTCAAGGCACGTTGCTGTCTTAAAAGATTATGGTATCTTTGTCGAGAAACTACACAATTTAATGTGCTTGAAAGCAACCAGGGTGCAGGTGAGGGGAAGATAATAACTGTCTTATCTTCGTGGGTTGTTGAGGATTGAGATGCTCGAGAGACGCGGCAAGACTTAAGAGGTGGTTGCAAAATTTTGTTTTGTTTTAAAACACAAGAACCAATCAGCTTAAACATATCGAGGTTTTGTTGTCTGGTCTTGTTTGTCAATTGGGGAAAATGTTTTTGTATGAAATGAATTACTTGCAGCACTGCAAGTTTTGCTATTAATTGGTAGATTTGGATCATTGGGGCAAAGCTTGATTGATGGTCCTGACTGAATCAAGCTTTGGGGACCATCTTTTGGAGGGGAAAAAAAAAGGAATTTTGTTTCTGTAGACTGAAAAAACACACACACACACACACATCTTAAGGACCACCGGGCCATTTTAGATGGTAGAAGTATAAAAGCCCAAATTGCATTTATGGTATAAACAACGCTTTGGATTGGGATAGGAAAAGACTTCAAATATTAAAGCTAGAACTAATACACTTTTGCCCCCTAATATTTACATATTTTCTCAATTTGATACCTAATATTTTTTTATCAGTAATGTCCTTAACGTCTACACAACATCGCTAGTTATATAATAATATCATATGTTATGGTAGATACTTTCATTACATGCTTTTTCATATTATTTTGATAGCATCAACATCTTTTTTATTTAATTTTTTTGCAGCTTTTAAAATGTGCTTAAATATCAAATATATTTCTAGGTATTCTCTAAAACAAAGATAATATACATTTCAGGGAAGCATCAAGAACAGTTACGATGAACAAGGTGTTATCTAATCAATCTAGATAAAGATGACTGGACAACATTGCCTCAAAGTCTATATGAGAAAACTAAAAGTTGGATTGGATGTCCTAAAAACTCCCCCAGACTACTACAGCTAGTTTCCTCTTTATGCACATGGAAACACCGGTATGCTTCTCGAATAAAACGGATCGTCATTCTTGCAGAATTCAAATAACCAAGCCGAAAAAAACTTTGCTCTCTATTCTGCTTGTGCAACATCCCTCCATCAAAGAATAAATTGTCTGGGATGTCGGTAATTCACTGTTGTAGCCAATATTGATGCATATCTTCCGAGTAAAGCTTCTCGCGTTCAAGCATTACCATTGCGATTTAAACTATTTTGTGGCTCAGCTGTCTTAATTGACATAGGAGGAGGAGGGTGTAGCTCCAAGCGCGGTTTGCGGCCTTCAGCATATCTTTCTATGCATATATCACCACGGCCGTGCCATGTACCATCTAGGACATTGTTCATCTCCAATGTTCTAGACTCCTGCTCCATGTTAAAAAAGGAATGTTTTTTAAGAATTACTATTTGAGACGCATTTGATTTTGTCACTGGTTGAATGACTCTTGCTGCAGTTTTGGATTATAGAGTAAATAAAATAATCAATATTTGAAAAACAGCGAGGCAAGGAAAAGAACCTGGGATAGTGTACAGCAAGGGCAGATAAGATGGTAGACACAATCATCCAAGAAGCTATCACTGCCCTGCAAAAAACAAAAACATAATTTCCAATCGAATCAGGAGTGCAAGGTGCTGGTAAAATATTAGTGTAAATAACTATCAGAAGTCTACAACCAACATAAACATAGACGAAATATCAGGAAAAGCACGGTGACCATGTAGTTGAAATTCAAAATACCTGGTCTTATTCAGAAAGTATCCATAAAACACCATTACTTAAAATTGACTACATGAGCTGAGGTATAATAGAAACATGCACAATTATCAAGCTTTATAATTCTTATAAAGCAAAAGAATGGAAGTTTAATGCAACAAAAATGCCATAATTACAGGAATACAGAAAATTGATTGTGCATTCCTTTGGTTCTGCAGAAAAAGGCATCTTGTGGCCCTAGGAGTTTCAAGGTTTAGCTTTTGTATTATTCATCTAAAAAAAAGGTTTAAATTTTGGAACTCAGTGTGTGTTAGTGTATTACAGTCTTCCCTGGATCTAGTTGGTTCTTTTGACACCTTCAAACTTTGATGTTAGTCCACAAGAACAATATCGTCCTCGGTCAGGTCAACAAATTCAATTACGAAATACTATAATTACCATGCAGAAAGAAGTAGCATGTGATCACTTATTATTAGACCCTGGAGTTGGAAAAAAATCAAGCATGTCCAGAAATAAAAAGTTCTCACCCTAATATTGAATTTTCTTTTTATCTGTGTACGGAAGAAACCCAGATATGCTCCAACAGACATGATGAATGCAACACCCAAATACAGAAAGCAATTCCGCTTGGTGAAGATAAAGGCAACAAAGTTGAGAATAGCAGTAGCTGTGAGGATGAAATAAATAGTTCCCTTCAAAAGCAAATTAAGAACTTTCAGAAAATGTTGAAATACAGCATCAATAGCAATAAACTCTAAAGGGCAGGAACTAGGATACATATAATCCCCAAACTTGCTCATATCTGGGAATTGACCATTTCCAGGAATGGAGTTTTGAGTTATAAGATTGTAGAAATATAAAATTTTTACCTGAAGAAAACAAAACCCGAAACCAGCCCGCCGCATGTTCTTCCCAAATCTGTAACAGGGACAACTGCGATACCAAAACAAACGATTACACAAACATAAATATAAACACTCGTCTCAGTTTCATGATATAAAAAACAAGAGATAAAAAACATAAATATAATCATTTTTAAACTATTCAAAATGATTAAATAGTTTTTCTTTTGGGGCGAAAACTACTTTACAGAAGAAAACCAGAGCTGAAAACATTCATAAATTTTTTTTAAAATGGCCAGCAAAAGGAGCAGGTTCTTCTTCAATTAGTTTCATTCTTTACACCAACTTCTAAAAAAAAAGTAAAATTACTTTTGTTTGACGTATTTCGATAGCACCCAAAATATTCGGGGATTAAAGACAGAATAAATAGTGCAAACAATTTTAGTACTCCTATCTATGATTTTTGTAGAGGAAACAAACAGCCTCTTTCTCAAAATCCGGATAGAGAGAAAGAGAACTAACCAGGCAGATTCGAGAGCGAGACGGCGGTCATCCAAGAAATCAAGAACAACTTCACCTTCCCACATCCTGAAAACGCCACCGAATTCGCTGCTTCCATGTTCTAAAGGTTCCTCGGCAGTTTCGAGTTTGCTCCATTTGCCCTGGGTTTGCAAAGCCACCGTCGAACATAGCACGTCGAAATCCAAAACCGCCATTCCTTCCAACAGCTTCTCTTCTTCTTCTTCTTCTCCTCCCTTTTTGCCTCCATTTACTACAAGCTTCTCTTGCTTCTCAACTTGCGCCATTAAAAAACACCAACCCACGAAAATGAACACCTTTAAGCCTCAAACCCTCTTTTTTCTTTCTCTGATTCTTCTTCTCATCCTGAGAAGAGCAAAAAAGGCGTGGCTTTTTAAATAGTGTATCGTTTTGTTTTTGTTAATAAAATTATATAGTTTGGGTTGGCGGATATGATTAATGGAGCGTGGGACCCAAAAGAAGGCGAGTAATTGACGAGGAAGACAATGCCACGTAGGGTCAGGATTCTGGGGATTAAGATTCTGATCTGGTAATAGTTGCCTCTATTAACTATTCTTATCTATCTTTTTCCTGTACAAAAACGATTCTTATCTAACTTCACTACGTTCCTACCAAAATTAACCATCCAATTTTCTTTATAGTTTACTTTTTCTACATTTTTAACATGATTATCAAAATCGGATCGGACAGGCCGATTCAATCGGTTGAACTGTGAATTGGTGGTCTGTCTGGTTATCTCACAAAATTGGTCTGACAATGAACCGGCTGAAAATCGGTAAAATTGAGGTGAATCGGCTGAAAATCGGCAAAATCGGTTTGAACCGTTGGTTCACTTTTTTTCTTTTAAAAAAAATTTAAACCAAACGACGTCATTTATTCAACGAGCCAAGTTAAATTCGAGTATTGCTGAGCTCGACTCGAACTCGAAAACTTTAAAAGTAAGCTCAACTCGACTCAAAAACTCACGAGATAAAAATTATCAAGTTCAACTCAAACTCGAAATATAATATTAAAACTTGAACTCGAAAAGGCTCGAACTCAAAAAAAATTTTAGAAGCTCGATTGAAGCCTAAAATTTGAACTCAATTGAAGCGAAAGAATAGTTCGCTTTGTACTCACCAAAAGACTCTATGATTTTGAATGTCGAATTACCTCTATTATTTATAGAAGTAAGTTGGGATGCTCTTCTATGTTTCTTAGCCATATGAGATTGTTTTGTTCTCATATTTTTACTCTTTAAACTTTTGAGATGCTCTTCTATGTTTCTTAACAATGTAAGATTGTTTTTTTTTAAATTAAACAAAATAACATCATTTGTTATGATTTTTTTAAGCCCCAATTTTATTTTTTTGATTATAATTATATTTATTTATATTAATATGTTTTACCTTAAATTTATGTTGTAGTTGATTTGAATCATGTTGTTTCACTTGATTTTATGGTTTTTAATTTATATATGTTATGACTTGTGATATTTTTATACATTTTAATATTGTAAACTTAAAAAAAAAGTGTTACATATATATAAATATTACTTTGAATATTACGTAAAATTAAAAAAATATGTTTTATATAAAATCCGATTCAACCGCAGTTAAATCCGATTAAACCAGTAAATCATTACCTTTACCGATTCAATGTCCGGTCCGATTTTAAAATTAAACTTTAACACGTAGAGCTAGGATTTGTTACTTGTTTGTATAATTTTATTGTTTTCAATTATTCTATTTTTGTGTTAATTAATAAATAAAATAAACCAATAACAATAGTAAAAATAAAGTTTAGGGTATTTAATGTTTGGAGTAGAATTTAAAATTTAGATTTTTCATGTTTAGGATTTCTAGATTTAGAATTATAATTAAGGTGTTTGGTTGTGCTTGTTTATTTATTATAATTTTGAAAAATATAAAGAAATAGAATTAAATATTTAAAATTTATAATTAAAATTTTATTGTTAATATGTATTGAACTTACCAAATCAGATTTACGACGTATGTCAGTTTTGATTAACCAAGAAGAAGTCTTGAAATCGGGAGGGCAAAAAAAAGGGAGAGAAGAAGTGTCAATTGAAAACTTTTAACCACCTACTCTAGAGATTATTTACATATTAATTATATTATTCAATTTATAGGAATGTGAGAATTAATATAATTATACACTTTAATTTTATCATTATCATTATTTTAAAATTTTATAATTATAATATAATTATACTTGGTTGATAAACGATGTCTAAAAAACTAAAGTTATAAAAGTAATAATTACATCTCTATATAATATTATTATGTTTAAAAAAGAAAATAAGAAATTAAATGTGGCAGAATTAAATAATGAATGCTGGTAAATTGTATGAGAACATATTTGAAACATTGTTGAATTTGGAAATAAAATAAGAGGCGGCGTTTTTAGAGTGGCGGTTACAATGTGGTTAGAGTCGGGAGTCAAAAGTTGGGATAACCCAAACCAGAGACAGACTTGGATTAGGACACTGCCTGTTTGACCCTTCATTTGTTTTACTTTTCAATAATATAATGGCAGATGCATATGAATAGGAATCTGAATTACCCAGAGCAAGGACATTTGGCAAGGCAACAGCCAGGGAGATGCTTAGCTGTATATTATCCACAACAGCCTAATCAAGTCCTCAAAGGCAAAGCTGTTGCTTTATAATTATTAGGTACACGTATTTTATATGAATTGAATATGATGGTGGTGGGTTTTCTAATGGGATGGTGATGAGGGCATCGGATAAGCTTCTATGGTTCCCGATAAACACGGTTTCATACTGATCAACCACCCCACGTGCATAAAGCGTGCTCTGCTTCTATTTCACCAATTTGTAAATGATTTTGTGGCGTTTATAAACACAGACCTACAAAGAGGTAAGAATGTTTTTGTCTTGGCTGCCCCAGCCCACTACTACTTTCCCAATGCTTGAGATAAGTCGTTTCAACCTATCAAATATGTTATTATTTCTCTTAGCTGTAAATGTTTCTATATGTCGTTAGCTTGACTTGATATATTTCTGCAGATTATTGTTATATTTCGTAGGATAATGGTTGGGGATGTGGTGCTATCTTCTTAAAATGGGAAATTTGATCATTGCAAGTTCATCTTGCCTGGTTCCTGGGTAAAACTAATTACTACTTGATTGAATTGTAGTTATACTTTTCCGAAATGAGGCTTCAGCCTCAAGTTAAAACTAATTAGCTAATCATATTCAACAGGAGAAATAAAATAAACAAAATTAAAAACACATACATTTCTGCTTTAATTATTAATACACCCTGATCCAGACTCAACGCTGGATGATCTTTAATTACAGATAATTACCTCTTATTAAACCAGAATAATTAGCGATTGAGAATGGCATAAGCATCTTAGAAAGGCTTTCATTTGCAGATATGTAGCAGCAGTATCTTCGACCTCTTCCAACGGATTCCGGTAGTCGGCAACCATACCGTCTTCTAATCCTCCAACTGTTATTTTCTGGCATTCGAGGACGTTGATTCATTTGACAAAGATGATCAGAAAATGAACAGCCTGAGTGATCCTGCTTCAAACCAGAATTTCATTCAGGAAATTAAAAAGAGAGAAAGACGTAGCACCTTTAAAAAGAATGCTTACTCGAGAAGCGGGTTCGACAGTGTCAGGCATGCGTGGCCATGAAACCACTTGATTTTCTTCATCACCACTAGTATCATCGTCGTAGTCGGTGTTATTTATCTCTTCTCTAGAAGCACTTCTATTAATGCAATGGCTGCAAGCAGAAACAATGGAGGCACTTCTATTAGGGCGTAGGAGATTGACAGAGGTGGCAAAGAAGAGTTCTTAAATGCTTAGCAACCAGAAAATTGGCACCGTGTACTCTGGAGTCACAGTCCCAAAATGGCCTCGTCTGATTCACAATACATTCTTGCCAGATTATTGCAAAGCTCACACTTTTTACTTTTTATTTTCATGTTTTGAGAGAATTGCCTTCAAGCTTGAATTTCAATGTGCCTTGCTTTTGTTTCTGCTTACTCCAGCCCTAGTGCTTTAAATAAAGACTATGCTAGTATCAGGCATTAATTGGTGGTGAAAGATAAGCATTGGCCTATTAGCCACATGCCTGAATTCAAGTGTGGATAAATTTCAATGTGTAGTAATTTGTTTGCATTTTGTGGAGAGGTAGTCTTCGTGTATCACCTATTATTTGCCTACATTATCTACTATTGGTCCAACTTAGGCCTCGACAGATAGGCCAAGTCCTTATTCCTTATCTAATTAAACATTTCACCTCTTCTCTTATCTTAAATGTTAATTGATTATAAAACATATGTATATATTATCAATATATTAAAAAATTAAATAAACACTGTCTTATAATTATTTAAGATTAACAAATGAAAATATTAAAGAATAGAATACATAATATTAAGATATTTAACTAAAGACAACTGTTAATGGCAAAGCATAAACCAGAAAACAACGTTGGAGATTGTTTGGCTTTCTATAAATACTAGGCACTCTGTTTTGCCACTTGATGCTAACCACAGGGCAGGTATTTGTCTATAGGGATCCTCCCCCACAGATGGCATGTGCACATAGCATTCCGGCATATCTTTTAATTTGATACTACCCACGTGTCGAACTTCTAAGCACGACACATTGAATTATTTCCATAATTATTTTGAAGGCCTTATTATAATATATATAGAGAGAGAGAGAGAGATACATCATCGAGAGTAAAATTAAGTGAACCTTACATATTTTTTTATATTATTAATATTTTAAAAACTATCTGTTGAAATTATTAAAATTGTTGAATTTATTGTTTATATAAAATTTTGAATCAATAAAATATCCTTACCATGTTGATTTAACGATTATACTTTTTTTTACATAAAATAAATATTTAAATATTTTTAATTTATTTAAATTTCAACATGTAAAATATTTTTCTAGAAGTAATTAGTTTTATTAAAATAGAAATTGTACAAATTCAATGAATGTTTACAATCACAATCGTAATTAATCACATAATAAATATATTTTCCTATAATCATTAATACAAAAATAATATCGCTTAAAATCACACAAAAATCATACAAGTAAGATTTAACGATTATACTTTTTTTTTACATAAAATAAATATTTAAATATTTTTAATTTATTTAAATTTCAACATGTAAAATATTTTTTCTAGAAGTAATTAGTTTTATTAAAAATAGAAATTGTACAAATTACAATGAATGTTTACAATCACAATCGTAATTAATCACATAATAAATATATTTTCCTATAATCATTAATACAAAAATAATTAATCGCTTAAAATCACACAAAAATCATACAAGTAAAAGATTAAAAAAGTTAACTAAACAAAATCGAACAAAAGATAAATACGAATATATTTAATCACTTCGGTAAATAAGCCGATCAAACTATAAGACCAAAAAATAAAATATTAATGATTTGATTGCTAAAATATTAATTATATAAAAGCATATATAAATATACAAAACTCCCTTAAGTAAACACTAAATAACTCTCTCAACTTAATATATTTTTGGGCCAAAGCATTGGAATCTTCGAGTGAGCATTATTCAATTGGATAAAAGAATACTTAAATGTTTGGACAACCCTAAATTAAGATCCAAAATGTTTGGTACATTATGTTTATAGATTGGAGTCCTTAGCTGGGTAAAGCCCAAAGTAATCATATCCTAGCTTTTCTAAGATGATGTAATAGCACCATTGATTCAATTCTCGGTTGCTAGCTATAAGATGTTGCTAGAAGCAGGTGTGGCGGCACAGTTCCATTGATTTATTCAACTGATGGAAATGAAGTTCATTTCATAATTAGCAAGCTTGCAACATCTCTGCGGAAACGTTATCAAAGTTGCAGAGGTGTAATGAAAGTTATCTTACACATAATTAATGTGAAATTATATATATATATATATATATATCTTTTTCCAAGCGGTACAAATTACAAAAGTCCGATAAGTTGGACAAAGGGTCTAGAAATTGACAATGGCTTCTACCAATAATTTTTTAGAGTCGTTCATCAACTCAGGACGAGCCTAAGCAAGAGGGTACAAAACTCCATCTCATTCAAAGCTCCATCCCCATCCATATTGTCGTAACCGGTTTTCGTCCGGGCACGAAATATTAATTTTTTGGTGGGGAAATTAATGTTAATAAATAATTTTGAAAATAATTTGGGAGTCGCCATTTGCCTTTTGGGTCAGTAGGTCGAATACCTAAAATTATTTTTTAAAAGAGTTTTAATAAAACACCAATTAAAAAAATAAACTGATCTGCGTTTATAACCAAAATTCATTCTTTTAATAAAAAGGGATTCGTGGTCGGTTACGTTTAGGGAAGGATTAGCACCCCTACAACGCCCAAAATTGGTACTTTTTAATTATAAATTGTCTCTATTATTAAAATTTTAAAAATTCAAAAATATATTTAATTTATAATTCTATTATTTCAAAATAAAAAAATATTTATTTATTTAAAAATATCCGAAAAGAACTTCTAGGTGCCTTAAGACAGCTCTTTTCTTTGATATTGATAATATTAATTTAAATAATATTGTTTACTTTTAATTTTAAAATATCAGAATAGAACATCCGTTGTATAAGACTGTCCTTTTCTTCGTATTAAAAATAAATATTTAAAAATTACTATTTATTATATATTTTGAATATAAAAATATTTAACAATATAATAAATAAAAATACAAATACTACTAAAACAATATTTAAAAACAATAAAGTAAATGAAAACATATAAAATAACTGACTAAATTATAATAAAAATAAATTAAGAATCAATTCATAATAATCAAAATTATAGGGATTTAATATGTTAGTTCCTTATTTATTTATTTGGTGACTAAAATAAAATTATCTAAAATTCGGATATTAGAATCAATAAATTAAAAATATAAACTAGGGATTAAATATTATTTATTAAAATTAAGGGATTAAATCTGTAATTTATCCTAAATATATTATTTTAATATGAAGGACTAAAATAAAAGAAATTAAATTCGAAGACTGAATTAAAAATATTATAAATTTAATTTAGTGACTAAAATATAAATTTACAAGTGGAGGACTACGGACGGGATTTAACTATTTTGTAATTACGCGCATAGTCCTTCCCGAAACGACGTCGTTCGGGAAGGACTATAAATGGTCCAAACCGGCTGGCCCGAAGGGCCAACCATTTCATTTCTTTTTTTTTTTCTCTCTCTAGCAGAGAGTTTTAAACTCTCTGCCTTCTCTCTAGACTGAGAGAAGCTCAGCCGGCCGGCAGCCGTTAGCCGGCGTTCATCCGCCGTCAACCACCGCCGCGGCCACCGTCTTCGGTGGCCGGAAAAAATTTTTTTTACATCTAAATGTAGATCGGACGTCCTAATGACGGTCCCGATACTTTTTCCCGTTAAACGACTCCCAATCGGAGCAGATCTACAATATACCTTCGGTTTTTGTTGTATCCGGCGAGATCCGTGGTCGAGGCTTCCTCGGTAAGTATTTCTTCCTTTTTCTTTTTTTTTTCTGGTTTTCTTGCTGAGATCGTTGGTATTAGTTTTATTTCTCTGTTTTTTTTTCTGTCTCTCTCTATTCTTTTTTTTTTGTCTCTCTGTCTCGTTCTATATCTCTGTCCCTCTCTGGTGTTTTTTGCTTGCAGATGGGTGGTGGCTTTTATAGCCACCACGGTGTTCGTCTCAGACCGGTCCGAAGAGGGGGCCTCGGTGAGTCACCGGACTACCAGTGGTGACTCCCCGTAGCCTTGCATGGACGGCTGGCGTTGATTCTCTGGAAGCATCATTCGGGACGTGGCAGCGGCGGAGGCGGTGAGGGCTTCTGGAAGCAGCAGCGGCGGCGCTGGGACGTGTCCTAGGGTATAGATACCCTAGGGTTTTCTCTGGCAAATGGTGGACCGTTGGATCAACCAGATCCAACGGTTGAGATTGAAGATGGCAGCTGGCTAGATTAGGGTCAGGAAACCCTAACTGGAAACCCAAATTTAGGGTTTCTGGTTGGATTTGGACCGGCTCTGGTTGGTTTGTAACTGGGCCGGTTCAATTGTAATTGGGCCTGTAATTATATTTTATTATTTGTTTGTTTTTAATAATATTTATATGTATTAATATATTTAATAATATAATAATAATAATAATAATAATAATAATAATGATAATAGTAATAATAATAATAATAATATTAATAATAATAATATGGATAAAAAATTAGTATCTTCAGCTGCACCTCTTTGCTCATTCTTGTGTTAACAAGAATAGGGCAAAGATGAAAAGATAATAAAATTTTTTATCCATTTGATTTTATTTTGATCATAATGGAGATATTGAATAAATTTCTCTCTCTCCAAATAAGTTCTTCTTATTATGAACTTTCTGCTGGGGATAATGATAACCTTCTATCTGTGATAGAGTCATTCAAAAGGTTGAATAAGCTCTTGATGAGTTCTTCTCATTATGAACTTTCTCTAGAAAGGCTGATGTTAATCTATCTCCTTCTGTGATAGAATTATGCCAAAAGTTGAACAAGTTCTTCTTATTATGAACTTCTTCTTCTTCTTCAGATGAGTTCTTCTCATTATGAACTTCTCCGGAAAGATAATCCATCAATTGATGGATTCAGGTAAAAGGTTGAACAAATTCTTCTCATTATGAACTTCTTCTTCCTTCTTCAGATGAGTTCTTCTCATTATGAACTTTTTCTGGAAAAAATGTTCCATCAAGTGATGAATTCAGGTAAAAGGTTGAATAAATTCTTCTCATTATGAACTTCTTCTTCCTTCTTCAGATGAGTTCTTCTCATTATGAACTTTCTCTGGAAAAGATGATCCATCAAGTGATGAATTCAGGTAAAAGGTTGATAAATTCTTCTCATTATGAACTTCTTCTTCCTTCTTCAGATGAGTTCTTCTCATTATGAACTTCTCTGGAAAAGATCCATCAAGTGATGAATTCAGGTAAAAGGTTGAATAAATTCTTCTCATTATGAACTTCTTCTTCCTTCTTCAGATGAGTTCTTTCATTATGAACTTTCTCTGGAAAAGATGATCCATCAAGTGATGAATTCAGGTAAAAGGTTGAATAAATTCTTCTCATTATGAACTTCTTCTTCCTTCTTCAGATGAGTTCTTCTCATTATGAACCTTCTCTGGCAATGTTAATCTTTCAAATGATAGATTTGAATCTTTGCTAAAATCTTTGAAATTCCTGTTAAAATTTCAACAAGAATAAAAATGAATGAAAATGCACCTATTTTTGTAAACACCTAAAATATGATGCATGAATGTTAAGTTATTTGATTTCAGATTGGTGAATTGGTATTTTTTCATTGTAAAAACCCAATAGATCTTTCTTCTTCAAACAAAGAATCTATCATCTTTGAAAAATGTAGATGTAGATAATGTCACAAAATCTCTGAGAATAAAACTCAATCGTATAGGCTCTTGAAAAGCTCGCATTCAGGCAACATGTTGATTCTGATAACAATTCATCTGATATGAAGTGACCTTTCAAGATGATTTCACCGATATTGATAGTTCTTCTAATACCGAGAAATCTTGACTTCTGATTCTGATGAAGAGATACACTGTATACTTGACAAAAATGGATTCTCAGAAGCTGAAACTTCAAATAGCTTTCTTCCGGTAAAAGATGGGAAGCCATTATGTGATGATCCCAGTTACAAGCAAAGGCGAAACTTGTGATATGATTTTTGGGAAAGGAATAAGCAAAGAAGCTTGAAAAGAAACTTCTTAATGAAGAAGATCATGCAGTTCATCTTTTAATTCTAATGATTGGTTCTGTAGTTCTTACCAAAACAAATCAGATAACTCAAAGAACACTTCCAGAAGATGCTATTAGCAAATTCATCTTCCAAATTCAATGATTGGTTCTGCCAAACCAGATCAGATAACTCAAAGAACACTTCCAGAGATGCTATTCTGTCTAACCAGATCAGATAACTCAAAGAACACTTCCAGAAGATGCTATTCTGTCTAACCAGATAAGATAATTCAAAGAACACTTCCAGAAGATGCTATTCTGTCTAACCAGATCAGATAACTCAAAGAACACTTCCAGAAGATGCTATTCTGTCTAACCAGATCAGATAACTCAAAGAACACTTCCAGAAGATGCTATTAGCAAATTCATCTTCCAAATTCAATGATTGGTTCTGCCAAATCAGATCAGATAACTCAAAGAACACTTCCAGAAGATGCTATTGAGCAAATTCATCTTCCAAATTCAATGATTGGTTCTGAGATATCACAACACTTATTTGATGTAGAGCCAGAATTTGTAGATTCGAAGTATTTCCATGCTATTACACTGAAAAGGGCTATATTCATAATTCTGCCAATTAAGAATAGATTTTCTCTTATTCTGCTTCCTCCATGTGCTGATGCTTTTCCATTGACAAAGAAATGATGGTTTTCATGGGATCCAAGAACAAAGTCGAATTGTTTATAAACATGTACAGGAAGTGCCAAATTGATAGAAAGGATCTGTAAGGCTTTTGAAGCTTATGACAATGAGCCAACTTCGAGCGTTCAGAAGTATGTTCTTGATGAGTGCTGAAATGGAATCTAGTATGGGTTGGAAGGAATAAAGTTGCTCCACTTGAACCTGATGAGGTGGAAATGCTTCTAGGTTTCCCTAAAAACCATATACAAGGATCTGTATAGAAACATGTTTCCTAGTGATATCAATGTCTTGTTTCTTTTTGCTGGA